AAATAAAGAAATTTTGACTTTGACTTTAATACAAACTCAAACATCAATAAAATGTAATCATATGTTCATTAACATGTTGCGGTACCGCAGTATTGACTGCGCTACAATATTTTGAAACATTGGGAACTGCCAATATTTATGAACTCGACTGTACCTACGCATTAAACTGAACTTATTAAGTTATTATATAACAGAATAAAAGAGAAAAGATCGATTTTACCATCGAAGTCAAGAACTTATCCAGTCAATCAATATTTGGCAAAAAAATATGTTTTAAATATTACATGTTGCGTTAGTACTTCATTTGTTTGCTGAAAAAGGTCAGTTAAAAGATCTTGTTTTTAGAGTAAAGTGGGAAAATAAGTTTTTTACTAGCTACCATTTCAGAAAATGTGTGAAACATCCATTTCAATGTAAATGCTTATCATTAAATAGTGAGATATACCGTTCCGTAAAAACTTAACTATTGCGCGACATGTAACATGTTATATCTTCCTAACTAAGCATCACTTCAACTCGTAAGCGTATTGCGTGTTACGTTCGTCCACCGCCCTGAGGGAGGACCAAAACAAATGCGCAAAAACTAGATGCTTCCTCGTCGGCACGAAGCATCGCCTCGTGTCCGCCTCGGACATCATCATCCTCGTCACTTACCACCAGCAGAGGCTTACTAGAGACAGGGATGCAGCCGCGCCCCGCCCCGCGCCGCCGCTACGAAAAAACCTCTTACAAAACAGATCGATCGATATGCTCTCAAACGTTCACTCGTTTCGCCACGGAAACTTTTCAGCTGGAACCCTTACGACCACGACTCGTCATCGACACTACCAGATAGGTTTCCGTTCGGCCACGGCTTCAGGTCTATCCTTCTAAAGGGGCTCCCGTCACCAGGTGGGGTGACCAGCCGTGCCGGCGACGGCGTCCTTGAAATTTCAAGTGCACGTCTCGGGCACGGCCAGCGCGCGCGTGCAGGGCGCCGAGGGTCGGCAGGCGGCGCCGGGGGCGTATCGACCCGCCGGACACGCCCGGGGCCGGACGCCGGACGCCGGACGCCGGGCCCCGNTTCATTTTCTTTTTTGAATGTACGTAATGACTGGACTATTGGGAGACCTCTGCTACGAGAACCTAAGTCTACGAAAGTTTCGTAGCAAGAGATGTTTTTAAGAAAATGTTACTTTTTTTGTTTCATTATTATGTAATTTTAGAAAAGTTTTTTCAGATCCAGTGATTCAATGCGTTATGGATAAATATAGTACCTCTTACTAAAACTTTTATAAGAAAAACATAACCCTCCTTCTGGTGCAGTCGGGTAAAAATAAGGCTTATTATTTGTGAATTTTGTAATGGATGACAGACTGTTTAAAGCTCATTTCAACCATATACGGGTAATTAAAATTTTCTTAGTTTCTAGATGTTTGCCTACTTTAACGTATAATGACCATAAATTACCAAGCTCTTTTAAGTTGGACCTCACATCATCTTTTTTGTTAGTTGTTGCCTACTTGAACTTAATCTTTCGGCGTTGGAGCTTTCACTTTTCACTTCAATTTGTGTTGTGTTTAAGGATGCTATTTGATGACCATTAATTGATGACCCGACTTATTCATTAATTGTACCTACTACCACAGAATAATAATAAGTACTACGTACTACTGCTTATGTATATTAAAATACTCTAGTGTCCGTTACGCCCTCGCTTTTGGCTCGGGCTTAAATCCCATTTGGCCATAATAATAACCAAATTAACTTAGCATCCTACTAATATTATAAATGCGAAAGTTTGGAAGTCTGGATGGATGTTTCACGCAAAAATTACTGAGCGGATTTTGATTAAACTTGACAGTATTATTCTTTATAACCCAGAATACATATTGGCTATAATTTATGACGATCTGTGACAAACTAAATTTCACGCGGGTGAAGCTGTGGGCAAAAGCTAGAGTACATATTTGTAAGTATTTGTACCATAGTAACATTATATTTTCGAGTAAATCTGTACTGTAGGTACCTGTTTATTTGGGATAAATAATAATAGTGGACTGTGACTCATTGCACCAAAACTATAATAATTTCGAATATTAATTAATACCTATCGATGTTACCGTGTTTGGCGTTATGTAAGTACGACAGTTATTTCTGTTCTAATATTTGGTAAATAAATAAGAGGAGGTAACGGAAAATTGCAACAAAATTATTACAATATACAACTAAATATCCTGTGAATTACGGACAGTACTTATTTATTTTATAAAGCATGCGGAAGATAATATGAGGAAAACGACTAGGACGTTTGTTGTGTGATGATAATCAACATTGAACATGGTTTGTTAACAGCACAGTTTGGTGTTTAAAATGTTATGTAAAGTTAAAATAAACGTTTTCTGAACTTTGTGTTTGTGTTTAATAGCGAGAAGGTATTATAATAAAATAGGTGTGAATTAAGGCAAATGAGCCATAAATAATTAAAAACATAACACATTTAATTTAACACCGTGATACTCGTATGTCTAATGTATGCAGTACTTTTCCGAATTTTAACTGGTTAAGGTTAATTTAACTTAAAGTTTTTCAAAATTAATCAATGTAGCTACGTAGCCAAAGGTTCATATTGTATTTTTTACCGAACTGGAGTGTTTCAAAACTACCAAAAATTTATACCAAGTTAGTGAAACTTTAAAATAGGAAAGTGCTATTTCGAAGCAAAGTTCATAACATTGTTTATCGGTGAATTTTCCCATAAATACTGTAAGGTAAATATACCACATAAGCATGCTCTATGTGTGATAAAATTAATGGAAATATCCTTATTTCAGATCTTTCGTGTTTGCTGCAGCATGTACGAATACAGGTATTATAAATTGTACTCATGATATCACTTGATGGGTTTCCTTATCATTTCAAGCTTTTGTTTTAAGGAAAGCTCTTTGAAAACATGAAAAAGTGTACTTTTGAGTTTTAGTTATTTGGCACTCATCATCATCATCGTCATCATCGTTGTAGGTAATGTGCGCACTTCATACATGCCTATACTGATTAACTGCCCGACTAAACTATCGGTCAACTAAAAATCGGTGGTCTGCGCCTAAACTAAGGGGCAAATAATGATTTCATGAAAAATGTTGGTGCAAAGGACTTTGGTGAAATGTACTTAGCGCGGTTTTTTGTCAGAATAACATTCTAAGGACTCATTTAAGGACAGGAGTAGGTAAATGATGTATCGGCTTTGTTAAACATGTTCTTTACGCATGTAATTGCAAAGCACTAGGTAGGGTTTTAATTGCAGATTGTCTTTTCATTTCACCATTTTACGTAATTAATAATAACAGGTACAGTCGAGTTCATATTCAAATTCAAATTTAAAATCTTTATTGCATTCTATGTTGTAGATAAGGGCTTAGACAATATATTGTATAGTCTCAAACATAGACCCGGTTTGGGCACAGCAACATTGTGTTTTACAAACATTTATTTATTAATTCGGCATGCATATTAGTGTTAATAATTTCAGAAATATTGAAAAATCTTAATTTTAACTGGAAGTTTAAATATGGCAGTGCCAATGTTGTAAAATATTGTTTGCGTTTTAAGGATCATTTTCAATACAAACTCAAACATCAATAAAATCCTACTTACTACTAATCCTACTAATATTATAAAGGTGAAAGTTTGGATGTTTGGATGTCTGGATGTTTGTTATTCTTTAACGCAAAAACTACTGAACGGATTTTGATGAAAGTTTACAGTATTATTGTTTATAGCCCAGAATAACATATATACTATAATTTATGATGATCTGTGACAAACTATATTTCACGCGGGTAAAGCCGCGGGCAAAAGCTAGTGTAATCATATGTTCATTAACATGTTGCGGTACCGCAGTATTGACTGCGCTGCAATATTTTGAAACATTGGGAACTGCCCATATTTATGAACTCGACTGTACCTACGCATTAAACTGAAGTCTTAGCGTGAACATGGAAGGCCCTAACTTTTTATCTTGCAATTTTAATTGAATACTGAAACTTATTATATAACAGAATCAAAGAGAAAAGATCGATTTTACCATCGAAGCCAAGAACGTATCCAGTCAATCAATATTTGGCAAAAAAATATGTTTTAAATATTACATGTTGCGTTAGTACTTCATTTGTTTGCTGAAAAAGGTCAGTTAAAAGATCTTGTTTTTAGAGTAAAGTGGGAAAATAACTTTTTTACTAGCTACATTTCAGAAAATGTGTGAAACATCCATTTCAAACGATCACATTAATTAACATTAGATCTTTTGTAAATGCTTATAATTAAATAGTGAGACATACCGTTCCGTAAAAACTTAACTATTGCGCGACATGTAACATGTTATATCTTCCTAACTAAGCATCACTTCAACTCGTAAGCGTATTGCGTGTTACGTTCGTCCACCGCCCTGAGGACCAAAACAAATGCGCAAAAACTAGACGTTTCCTCGTCGGCACGAAGCCTCGCCTCGTGTCCGCCTCGGACATCATCATCCTCGTCACTTACCACCAGCAGAGGCTTACTAAGACACAGGGATGCAGCCGCGCCCCGCCCCGCGCCGCCGCTACGAAAAAACCTCTTACAAAACAGATCGATCGATATGCTCTCAAACGTTCACTCGTTTCGCCACGGAAACTTTTCAGCTGGAACCCTTACGACCACGACTCGTCATCGACACTGCCAGATAGGTTTCCGTTCGGCCACGGCTTCAGGTCTATCCTTCTAAAGGGGCTCCCGTCACCAGGTAGGATGATCAGCCGTGCCGGCGACGGCGTCCTTGAAATTTCAAGTGCACGTCTCGGGCACGGCCAGCGCGCGCGTGCAGGGCGGCGAGGGTCGGCAGGCGGCGCCGGGGGCGTATCGACCCGCCGGACACGCCCGGGGCCGGACGCCGGACGCCGGGCCCCGTTGCATAACGCTGGTCGTGCCGGACGGAGCGCGCGGAGCCGGTATCGACGCGCGCGGGGCGCATGCGCGACGCGTACCTTCGCAGCCGTAGCCCTGCCCGATGAGGCCCCACAGCAGGTCGGAGCAGTGGTGGCAGTACGTGGGCTTGTGGAAGGTCTTCTTCGCGAAGGAGTGGGTGCGATGGGGCGCGGGCGCGGCCTGCGCCATGGCGGGCGCGCGGGCCGGGCCGGGCGGGCGCGCTACTCATGCCGCGGCGCCCAGGGGCGCGCCGCGCTCTCCGAGCGGCTGTCGCGGCCCACCATCGCGGCGCGTCTGCCGCCCGCGCCCCGACGCAGTGTTGTTCCTGACAAATTTAGGGTTGCCGTATTCTAATTCTAAAATTGCCGGATATTTAAGGAAACCTCAGAAAAATTGCCGTATTGTACAAAATGTTTATTTGGAAAGTTTAAATTAAAAAAATGTTGAGATCTTATGTACTATACGTAAACTACTTTTAAACTTGCTTATTTCATTCTTCACTTTTAAAGGTTTTGAAAAGTTTAGTCATAGAACCTACCCGAATAAAAGTGAAGAATCTACCAAAATGAGGAACAAACGAATTTAGACATTAAAATCTCGGAGATAAGGTTGCATTTGGTTGAATTCTGTTGACGTTTCTTTTCGTGGCGCTTCTACTTCATCTATGGTTTACAAGTTGGTGCGTTCCATTAGACGAAATATTTTTTTTTGTTTACTCATACTCATGAATGAAAAACTCATAAAACTCTACTTTAATCAATTGCCGTATATTTTGATACGGTAATGAAAGTGCTGCCGTATACCGTATTTATGGTGCCTAAGATGCCTGAATGCCGTATATTACGGCAATTGCCGTATCAAGAACATCACTGCCCCGACGCCGCCGCGCACGCGCCCGCCCCTCCCCCGCCCGCCCCGCCGCCCCCCCGCCGCCGCCCGCCGCGCGCACACCCAACGCGCTACGAGTGGCGTGCGAGCGCTGGATCGATTTCATCTCGGGAGATGGAATCTCGTGCTTTGAGATTGGGTTTCTTGTAAAATGGGCTCTGAAAAGGCTCTACGAATTTCTTGCTACCGTAAAACGGGCTGTATCTGCAACTTAATTAATGATTGCAGATGTACTTGCAGATTATCATGCAAAGCACCCGAGTTTCTGACATCGTAATACATTTTTAAATTATATGACATTATAATGTAGTAATGTTTATATTACATAACTGAGTAATATCGAACGGATCAATCATCAACAATCTTTACTTGAGTTAGAGGCTGTAACGCTCGACTACGTCGTAGCGCTATGCGTGCTACGAAGGGGTCGACTTAAACTGCTATCAACTAATAATTATTGCTGGTTTTGCTGAAAACATTTAATTAGTAATTATATTACACGTACATATAACACGCGAAGTAGTATTTTTGAGATAAAATGTTACGTAAAGTTTTGAAAATAAAATATTAGCACGTCGTTGCAAGATCATATGGTGCGACGCGTGCGCGGTGCCGCCCACCAATCGAAATCGCTCTCCGGGTTTACTTAGCTAAATGATTGCAATATTTCGACTCTATACGTCTTTGTCTCTCATGCCAGCGTCTCTAGGAGTATGAGAGAGCTGTACAGAGCTGAATATTCGAAACTGTTTCAGTAGTAGAGCCGGTTGTTTACAATATTAAGAGGCGCAGCTTCTCGCTGGAGTGCCCGACGGTCAGACGCCACTCGCAGCATGTCCAAAAATCAACTCACAACTATGAAATTCATGTAACTGTAACATGAATTAATGAAATTTTAATCAGCCGTTTCAGCTATTTCAGGGATTGATAATATCCCTGATAGTCTAGCTGACTTTCACGGAAAATAGTTCTCCGATAATGTACATAACTAAGTAAATGGTTGAAACTGGTGTCAAATATGTAAAGTAGGTACCTAAATGTATGAAATATGACTAACCTTTGTAAACTAATAACTACTAACATTATCGTGACAAAAAGTAGCAAATAAAAACTACTTCGTACTCGTACCTTTGCCACTCCAATTTGGAATTGCCTGACTAAATAGCGCAATTTTGTATGTTAGAGGCAAAGAAAGAGTGATGTAATAGTTTTGTTATTCAGCTTTTACATCGCCAACACCGTTACAAAACTAAAACATGGTAGGTATAGCAATAATGATTAAAATACGAGTAAGGCTGATGAAAGTCAGGTTAAAATCTATAAACCTTCTACATGTAAATGTCAATATTCGATCCACGCAAAATGGGGGCACGTCAAAAAGGTCCCCTGCCCGCACGGGCTGATCCGAGCGCACAGCTTAGCATCAGCAAGGGTGCATGTAAGGGTTTAATCTAGTGGAAAACCTACACGGATCGCTCGGCCCGCTTTCGTGCTCTATATTTAAACACCCCTGGGTGGGTGGCAGTTCACGCCTTTAGCACTTCAAATAGATGTTTTTAACCCAATGTTCACGACATCGGGTGGGCGCTAATCAACCTGCGTATGGATAATAAGGTCGCGGTTGACGAAATGTCACTTAATTTTTTAGGACGATGTTCATTTTGCCGTAAAAATATCCGTGATTTAACGTATTTTAAGGTGTTAACGTCTCTACAAATACAGAGATAGTGTTGGAAGGAAACTTACGTCCTAATCTCTCGTAGATACTTATCGAAAGTCAATTATTTGTAGGTATGACGGTATGTTACCTACTAAAGCGTGTTTTTTATTTAAATAAATAGGTATATACTATTAATTTTAGTATATTAGAAAGTTACTTTGGATGCATGGGCATCCTTAGATGGCTAAATTCTCTTATTTTTGTAAACGTGTGTCTTAGAAGCAATAAACGGCTATGAGAATAAAATATAAATTATATTTTAGAATTAAGTTTTACACTGAAGCTATTGCTGGACCGATTCCAAGGCATGGAATTCTTTAGGTAGGTATCTTAGATATTTATGTCGTAAAAAAATAGTTTTTTTTTTATACACAACGAGGAAGCTCTTGGCCTATATCTCACCTGATGGTAATTTAAGTGACGAATAACTTTAATAATAAAATACCTGAACTTTTGAAACTGGGATGAACCTGGGCATAAAACCAGAATCCCGGGTGAAATAAATTATTTGGAAAATTATAAATAACTTAAAAAATCGAACTGCCTAAGGCGGGGAATTAAACCCACGATCTTTTGCTTGCCGTGCGACTACTCTTGCAACTGAGCTACTTACTTAGACAAATAAAAAAGAAATATTTTTTTAGAATAAGACCGAGGAAGTCATTACCTTTAGATAGCCATGTGTCAGTAATAACCCTTTACTTAATTACCCGTACTTAACTACCTAGTTTTTATTTCAAATGCCTAGGGCCGGATTAACCATCTCGGGGCCCCTAGGCACAGCTCGTTTCGGGCCCCCCTTTTTTGTCGCGGAGGAAATGCTTTGCGCACCGTCACCACTGCCGGGGGACAGGGTGGTGTGTGGGACTCCCGGTGCCCTAAAAAGGGCGCTGCTCCGTCCTGAAAAGGACGGGGTATACCCACTAAAAGTACCTCCGCGGCGTTCCGTGATCGCCCAAGTGGGCGTGTCGCGAATATTCGGCCGTAGCCTTAGACTTCCGCGACACCACCGTCGACAGCTCGCCTACACGGCGGACCCTACACGCCCCTTTGTGGGGGTCCGACGGGAATGGCCCGAAACGCCAAGCCGTTCCCGTCAGACGGAGGTGACAAGGGTGCCCCCGCATCCCCGGCCTGCTGGCCGCCACCTGGGGGCAGAGTAGAACGGTCGTACAACCGCCTTTCCCACCCCCTTCTCCGCCTGCGCAGCGATGAGGCGAGAGGATCGTTCTTCCGCTCGCGCTCCGCTGCTTCCTTCTGAAGGATGACCTCTTCGCAAAAGGAGGCGACCGCCTTCCAGCATCCTTCATTTACCAGCATGGCGTTGACCAGGCTCGGAAGCGAAAGATCCCGGCCCACGACCGCAGTGAGGACACGGCGCTGCTCCTCCCAGCCTGTGCAGACCGCGAGGGTGTGCTGCACCGTGTGGAGTGCGTCCGCCCAGATTGAGGCGCCATACAGCGTCATGCTCCTCAGAACGCCGGTATAAAGTCAACGACACCTCGTTTGTGGCCCTCCCAAATTCGGGAGGAGCCAACTCAGTGCGCCGGCTGCCTTGAGGAGGCGTGGCGCTAGCCCGCTGAAGTGCGGGCTAAAATGCCACCTCCCGTCAAGCGTGAGACCCAGATATTTCATCTGGCCTTTGACGTCCATCCTAACGTCCTCAACTACAATGTGGGCGTCGGGAGGGGCGCGCTGGCGAGGCCCCGGAAAGAAGAGGGCCTCAGTTTTCTCCAGCGCGACTTTCAGGCCGAGGCGTCGTATTCTGCGAGCGACTAATGTGCCGCCCGCCGACGCCAGCCGTACCGCGGCCCCAAATGTCTTCCCCCGGCCAGTGACCCGAGTCCAGAGTGTCATCCGCATAGCATATGACACTCATGCCCACGAGAAGGACGCCCCGGAGGAGCCAGTTGAAGCCTAGGTTCCACAAAAGTGGACCGAGCACCGAACCCTGCGGAACCCCGCTGGCTACGCCTCGCCGTTTGAACTGGCCGTCTCTGTTAACATGCAGGACTTCGCGGTCCCGTAAGTAATCGGCCAGCAGCGCTCGAAGGTACTGAGGCACTCTGTGATGTTGAAGTGCCTCGAGTATGTGGAATGAGGAATGGCATTAAAAGCGTTGGCTATATCGAATGATACAGCCAACACACCTTCACCCCTCTTCCTAGCCTCCACAGTGAGGTTTTTTAGCCTCTGAATTGCCTCGACTGTCGACCTGTCATGTAAACCAAAGCAGCAATGCCAACGTTATGAAAATTATTTATGTTATGACACAGGTACATAGGTAAATAAACATTCAATATTTTATCAAGTATATTATTTTGAGAGAGATTAGATTATTTTGCGGGGGAGAGAGGTGACTTAATGGATAAACTCTTAGAGATTAAATACCGACTGAGGCGTACCCCTGGCGCTAGTGGACACTCAGCTTACGAGCTCATGTTTGGCCGAGAAGTAAGGACTAGACTTCATACTATGCTCAAAACCCCACCAGTCACTCCATCGAGAACTAGTGACACATTGGCCTTACATACAAGACATTTTGTTTATGGAGACAGAATGCAGGCTAGACTATATGGAAGCTCCGCTCAGAGGTGAACATTTGCCACAGTGGTACAGTGCCTGGGCAAGCTGCATAGTGCAGCTATCGTGCGTACGGACGGTGGTTTGACCTGGACGCGCCATCTGGACCAGCTGCTGCCGGCGCCACTGGTGCCAGCAGTGCCGCAGCCAGAAATCGCGGCGGCGGTGTGTCATGTCTGACCTACTTTATGGTTGCTTAGCAACGCGTTTTATTCATTGTTATGACAATTTAGGTTCCACAATATCGAAATATGACGATTGAATGTGTAAACCAAAATAAGGCGAAGTTTAGAGGTGGAGTTTTGTTGCATAAAATAATCTTTGACATTTTTTTTTCTTTTTTTCTTCGGGAGTGCTGGGCCCCTGGTCATAGTGGGCCCCTAGGCACTGGCCTAAAGTGCCTTATGGATAATACGGCACTGCAAATGCCACGTCCTTAGTACCTACTTAGCACATACATACCGCAGCATGAAATTACACCCTTATTATTGAGATACGATATCAGACAAGCATACATACAGCCTACAGCCAATGGGCAAAACCATTACTCATGTTTATCTGTTTAAAATTATTCTACACTAAAAACTACTGCTTGCGCAGGGATGTTATGGATATCCGTAACCGTAACCGAAACCGGTTTCTTGTTGTGTACGTTTCGTTAATCGAGTATTTTCGGGCAAGTGGGTGATTAACCCGCTGTAAGTCAACCGAAACCGGTATAAGATTATTCTTATATCCGTAACTAACCGTATCCATAACCGAAACTAATCCATAAAATCCCTACTTGCGACTGATGACTATGGTGTTAAGTTTAATCAGGCCACCTGACCGATGTTTGATAGTATTTGACACTCACTGCACACATGAATTTTGTTCAGGAAGCTTTCCTAATTTATTTAATTAAGCAATAAGCAATGTCTACGTGCTGTAACTTTGCTCATAATATATATTAGGCGTTGTATGGCCGCAAAGTAGCAATTAATTAAGAAAATACACATAACAATTATTTACTACAGTAATTAATCAAGGTAATAAATAGTATTTTGTTACTTTTATAATTGATAATTCATTATTAACTAGCTGACCCGGCGAACTTCGTACCGCCTTAGCGTAGAGATTTTCTTAATATTTTTTTCCGTAAGAACCATCCTTGGACTTCCACAAACATTAAAAAAAAAGAATTATCGAAATCGGTTCAGCCGTTCACACGTGATGCCGTGACAACGCGAAACGGGTTTCATTTTTATATATATATAGATGAAACATTTTTATAAGTAACAAGATGAATTAGCCAAGGTGAATGAGGAAAGCTGAATACGCGCATCTGAATTATTTAATTAAATTTTAAAATTATGACGAGATGGTAGTTAGATAACATTAATAAGTACTTAATTTATTAAGGATTTGATACTCTGGTATTTGAAGATATTTAATAGAAAGTACTAAGTACAAGTTTTAGATAGACGTATTTAAAATAACATAACTGGGTCACATATTCGACAGTTTTATGATAAGTTTTGTCAGTTCAACATACTCTACAATAAACTGACGCTATCGTGAAATCGTGTTATAAAATTTTACAACGGCATTCAGTCACGAAAGCCGCATAGTAGCAAACGCGGTGCGGCCACTCCCGAACGGAGTGTACTTGTGTCAAATTATTACGTGCCTGTCAAAAAAGTGTAAAAAAAATATGGACGAATCGCGGAAGAAAACTTTTTTGGGATTCGATTTTAGTACGCAAAGGGTAAGTTAATTATTAATTTATAAATTATTACGTACAAGACTAAAGGACTAGAAATCAAGATTTTTTTATTATAGCTGTCCTATACTCATTAATTAATGTAATTAATGAAAACGCCGGAGTAATTAATTAATTGGCGATAACATCTATTAGTTAACTGACTTGAATTTTTAATGTGTAACTGTGTTAACTTATGACTCAGGCTGCCATATCTAGACTTAGAGCTATTTAACAGTATGCTGCAGAAATCTTAGAACTTCTAATTTAGTTTTACCATAACCGTAATTACTAATTTAAAAATAAAATTTAGCATCTGTTATGCACTAACCTAGAAGTTATGAACTGTGTAATTTTTAAAAGATTCAATGAAAGTGCATTGACCGAGGCAAAAAGTTTACATTCTATGTATCAAGGTCAACAATAACACCGTCTATAAATGTATTCAGTAAATTTTAAATTATCACTTTCATAATATATTTTGCATATTAAATTATTTGTCATTTGTTTGTTCTTTTAGCTAAAAGCAATTGTAATCGGCGAAGAATATGAAATACTTCACGAAGCAGCAGTTGAATTTGATGTTGATCTTCCAGAGTTCAGGTAATTGTCAAAACTTTTTAAACTTTTTTTGCATGAAAATGGAAACATACACATTTTAATATTGATTCTCCTTGAATAATAAATTGCTTAAATTGAACTCCAACTTCCCTATATCATACCAGATTTTTTTCCATGAAAATGTAAACATACACATAGTAATATTGAATCTCCTCGAATAATAGATTGCTTAAATTCAACTCCAACTTACCTATATCATACCAGAACGGCCGGTGGGGTGCTCAAAGGAGAGCGCGGTGAGGTGACAGCCCCCCCTCTGCTATGGGTCAAAGCCCTGGACATGGTGATGGACCGCCTGGTAGTGGCTGGCGTTGACTTCTCCTTGATCGATGCCTTGTCGGGAGCAGCCCAGGTAGGTCTTGGAAATAGAAAGTTTTTATGGTTAAAGCCATCATTGTATGCTAAGTTGTGGGAAAACATTTAATAAAGCCCTCAAATCTTTTGTTATAATCAAAAGTATTGTAAACGTTTTGATTTCTTTTCCGTGTTGCAGTGAAAGTTAAATTCATTGTTTTTAATATATTCAAAGTTCTAATTCGAGATTTATCACCCAGACATCTATTTAATATAATGTAAAAACTTTTTTCTGTCAAAAGTAATTGTTTCCTTTCATTTAACTTTATTACTGTTCAAGGAACATTAAAACAAAACAGATTATTTGTAGATTATTTATATTTATTTTTATAATGCATCTTTTCTTCCGAATTTGTTATCTTAGAATATTAAAAAATGTAGTATAGGTCGCACAACGAATGTTGAGGCGATTTAGAATACGCAAGAAAAATCTTAGATTGTGATGATTGCCTCAACTCTTGTTGCGCGATCTTTATTACACTCTAAACAAAACACTATTACATATTCCATGTATATCTTCCTCCCTTAGCAACACGGCTCAGTCTGGTGGGCCAAGGACGCGGAGTCCCGTCTGGCGACACTTGCCCCGGATCAGTTCATCCACACGCAGCTGGCTACTTCCTTCGTGACCAACTCGCCCGTGTGGATGGATTCCAGCACCTCTGCCGACTGCAGGGCGCTGGAGGAGGCTGTTGGAGGACCAGAGGTGAGTGTGGGCAGACAATAGTGGCCTTTATCAGCATAGCAACAAGGCTCAGGATGGCAGGACAAAGACCAGAGTTAAAGTCGAGTGACCAGTTTGGGCAATAGTGTCCTGTATCATCATAGCTACAGGGCTCAGTATGGTGGGGCAGATACCAGAGGTTTGATCAGTGTGGGAAATAGTGACCTGTATTATCATAGCAACAGAGTTCAGTGTGGTGGTGGGCCAAGGGCCAGAGGTGAGTAATCAGTGCGAGCAATATTGACCTGTATCATTATAGCAACAGGGCTTAGTATGGTGGGCCAAAAACGTGGTAACTGTAGCCACACTGGCTCCAGAATATTAAAGAATAAAATACAAAATGAATCCGAATGGGAAAGACAAAAACATTGTTAATAGAATTTAGCAGGTAGGTAGTACATTTCCACGTTCTAATTTAATCTGTGTTATTCTCTAGTTTTATAATCCTAATAAAATCTATTAATATCACAATAATTGTTAACGAGATCAGTACAAACAAGGTGCAATGGAGCATTGCAGGTAATTTCTCGTTTCTAGCTCACATTACTAATACCAGAATCGTTTATTTTTTTAAGTAGGCTAAAGTGCTTTCTCTCGAGTACCGCTTTAATTTTGCAGATTGCAGCTCAGTTCTGTGCTCATGAATTTATAATAACAGAAAATTCTATACGACAAAAACTGAGTTCAATTACTCTTTTTTTATAATTCGCAATGTGTTAACTTTAGAATTCGTTCAAGGCTAACAAAAAAGTCGTTAATTTTTTGCAATTAGGTTCGTACAAAACTTTACACAATACAATAATTTTGAGCCCACCAACCGCTTCGGGATATGGTGAGTGAGATAGCGAATCTCAGGGCGGCAAATTCTTCTATTCTAACCCAGGAAATGGTCAAAATAACCAGGTCAACATTGCCATCAGTTCGCGAGCACACAAATCCGCAATATTCTCCGCTCTGCTCAGAGTGGTTTTATAACCTCGTCTATTTAGTTTTATGATATTCCTAGGAACTGGCCAAATTAACCGGTTCTCGCGCATACGAGCGGTTCACGGGGGCCCAGAACCGCAAGATGTTCCGCACGCGGCCGCGAGCGTATAAAGCTGCGACGCGGATCTCTATGGTGTATTTATTTCTTAAAAGACTCTTCGTTTCCAGGAGCTGGCCAAATTAACGGGGTCTCGCGCATACGAGTGGTTCACCGGCGCCCAGATCCGCAAGATGTTCCGCACGCGGCCGCGAGCGTATAAGCTGCGACGCGGATCTCTATGGTGTATCTATTTCTTAAAAGACTCTTCGTTTCCAGGAGCTGGCCAAATTAACGGGGTCTCGCGCATACGAGCGGTTCACTGGCGCTCAGATCCGCAAGATGTTCCGCACTCGCCCGCGAGCGTATCAAGCCGCGACGCGGATCTCGCTGGTGTCTTCCTTCGCCTGCTCCCTGTTCCTGGGGCGTATCGCTCCCATCGACTTGTCGGACGGCTCCGGGATGAATCTGCTCGATATACACTCTTTGAAGTGGGACGAGAAGGCTTTGAAGGTAGGTGTTATTTATGAACTGGTAGTTTAAGTTAACGCTTTTGTATTCTTGTATAACTTGAATCCAGAAGTAAAAAGGCAAGTTGACCCCTCGCAGGAGACATGCGGTTGCGAGCCACCAACTGCACTAAAACTTTCTACAATATTTATCATATATTTATGATCTAACTTAAGTATCTAATCTCCCGCTTTTTTCATCAATCCGTTGCTAACTATCTTCTTAAGGTCGCCGGTCCATCAAGCTAGTGCGCATCTTGTCACTACGTTTCCTGAAACTGTCTCATTCAACCGATATGCTCCAGTTTGCCTCAGTTAACCATCATTTAGCATCCCAAACTTATTTAGTCTACTGCCCACTTTGAGAATAATTTATTTTTAGCGCCCCCCATTTTTGTGGTCAAGAGTCGAGCTCAGTCGATGTCTAAGAGTCCTCCTAGTAGATGAAGGCCTCCCAAGCCTCTACACAACGTCCCGATTTTTTTCTGGGTCTCTTACCGCCCCCCTTTAAGCCTGCAGCGCCCACACTTTCGTCATCCACTTAAGCTCATATAGCAACCTGGTAAACTCGACACTTTATTTCCAGGCATGCGGAGACGAGACCCTGGCCCAGAAGCTAGGCGAGCCGATAGCGACTGCTAGCGACCTGGGCGTCATCTCGCCATACTTCGTGGCGCGCTACGGCTTCCGCGCCGACTGCAGAGTGGTCGCCTTTACTGGAGACAACTGCTCTGCGTTAGCAGGTAATCTATATCTATGAAAGCGAAAGGTCACTGATTGACTGACTCACTCATCACGAAATCTCAGAAACTTCAAGTGCTAGGAGTCTCAAATTTTTAGAACGTAGGTGTTCACTAAGACGGGATTTTGCAAAATTCAACTCCTAAAGGGGTAAAGCGGGATCCACGCGTACGAAGTCGCGGGCGGCTGCTAATAATAAATAAATAGCTGGACAACTGTCCAAGTGTAACTACACTGTAATGTAGCCCCAAAGAAACGGGTATAAACTAAGAGTAAAGCATACGATGCGTTGCGGCGGCGGTGCGACGCCGGAGCAGTGTCGCTGCGTCGTCTTCCATAGAAATCTGTAGCGGGCACAGGAGCGGTGCGACGAAATCTTTGCGGTGCGGCGCTGCAACTCATCGTGTGCTTTGGCTTTTACTTTTTTTATACAAATATACAGCACAGGAGGATGGCTCTAATTCATCAGAAGCAAATAGAGGATTGGGTCTAAACATCCCAATACATAACTGTATATTGGACAATCTTCTAAAGAATCTGCTACCGTGGCTTGATTGGACGTCAGACCAAAGTATTCCCATAAAACACTGACACTTACGAAATATGTATGTTAATGTATATTGGCAAAGTAAATAAGCATACAATCTTAGTAATATACTTCGCGAATATCTAAATAAATATTTATCTGGGAGTTATCTTAGCAGATAACTCAAGAGGGCTAAGGTTTACAAGTCGTCAAAAAACAATTTCGCGATAAGATATCTAACTGGCAGCACACGAGATTAAGGCGATGTAATGTGACAGCGTTTGATTCGCTTATCTTGTATGATTGTGTTTACAATACTGAGATGTTTGATAATAAAATAATAACTCTTTAGATGTGATTTTTGTACAATCTTAATAATTTGCTTTGAACCGCGATTTCGTATTAGAAAACTTAGAGGAAATGAAAATGCTCTAGAATCTAGAAGCATTAAAAAACGTAAATAGTGCCAAGAAGGGATTTTTGGAGTCATTCCTCAAGGGTTATACTCGTAATACTGATTGAAAGTTTGTATGAAACTTCATAATGTTGCAAAATTCATGCAAAAACCAGTTGGCTGGATAATGATACTGACGCGTCCTTCTTAGCACGAGATTTTGTTTTTTTTTGTTCTGTGCCAAATAAAGCGTAGTCTATTATAATCTATACGTTGATTTTGTGGCTGGACACAGATTTTCTGTGGACGCCTTGTAATGAATGTAATTATGAGCACTTAAGAGAAAAATACATGCAAAATTTTACTCCACAGGTCTTCGCCTCCGCATCGGCTGGGTGGGTCTCAGCCTGGGCACCAGCGACACGCTGCTGCTCGGGCTCCCCGCGCCCGCCGCGCCCCCCGCGGGACACGTGCTCGTGGGGCCCACGCACGATGCCCCCTACATGGCCCTACTGTGCTTCGCTAACGGCTCGCTGACGAGGCAGAACCACCGCGATCGCTTGGCTGGACCCAGCTGGGATGCGTTCAATGATTTGTTAAGAGCGACTGTTAGAGGCAACATGGGATATATGGGTGAGTCTTAATTTAGGAGCTATAGAAAAATACCGCGCTTCTTGCGGCGGGGCACGTCCTAATAGGGCCCAAACACGATGCCCCCTACATGGCCCTACTGTGCTTCGCTAACGGCTCGCTGACGAGGCAGAACCACCGCGATAGGCTGGCCGGACTTAGTTGGGTTGCCTTCAATGATAATGATAACAAACTTCGATAGTATCAGCGTGATTTCTTAAAAGAACATTAAAAGGTCAAATTAAACTCTACCTCATAAGTCAAGCGTGTTGGTAGATTGCTGGCTCTTGAGTCTTCTGAGCTCTCGAACGAACCCTCAGAGTCTGACGCGAAGCCTATTTGTATCATCATTACTGTCCTCTCTCCGAGTTCGAGCCTTAAAAGTTCAGTAACTTCACTCAAAGATTTAATTTTCGACTTGGTGTTTATTTGTCCCTCAGGCGTGTACTTTGACACCGCGGAAATAGTCCCACGGGCGGCGCCGGGCCGCTGGCTTCGGGACGCGAACGGGCGCGCTATTGACCGCTTAGCGCCGCAGTTTGAAGCGCGCGCGCTACTAGAGGGACAGGCTTTAGCGCGCCGCGCGCACGCTGAAGATATGGGATTCACGCTGGGTGAGTGAGAAATAACAAGCATGATATCCACCAAAACGGAGAGGAGAGGAAACGAAAGGAGACGTTTTGAATAACCAATCGGATTTCAGCGGGTACCTCTACCCTTTTGGCAGATTGAGCCCCACATAACTGCTCCCTTGGCTGGTGGGTATTAGAGGTGGGCGCCGATATATAATTGGCCGGCGGCGGCGCGCCGACTTTTTGACTTCGGCGGCGGCGGCGTCGGCGGCGTGACCTTGTTTGACCTTTATTCATTAGGTTTTTTTTTTAAATCTGCTTTTTTAGTATGTGTCGTCAAGACTAATCAGGTGATTTGCAGTTGGTTGGGGTTTGACACGGTAGAGCTACTAGAGCAGTGGTTTACCGTAGTAAATTAGCTCTCTTGATCATAGATACTTTGATATTTGGATAGCAGGTTTGGCTGAGATCAGGTTTTCAGGAGCGTACCAATGTGCCCTTAACATGTATTTTTGTGCTCTTTGGAGGCACACAGTTAAGCACACAAACACACGGTCGACCAAAATTAGATGCCATAGATGCCATAATATTATTGTTCAGATCTGTTTTATTTACATTTATGGTCTTTCCATGTCATTCTGCGGCCCAGGTTTTTAATGCAGGTTGATTGCAGCAATGTGTCGAGAGAGATTTGAGATTTGATTTGAGATTGGCCGGAAGATAAGTTGACGATGTCTTAAATCAGTGTTTTTCAACCTGTGGCTCGGGAACCCCTGGGGGGTCGCGAAACCTCTATAGAGGGGTGAAAAAGGTTGAAAAACACTGTCTTAAATGATAATATGGTGAGACTTCGGGGCTTGCTTACATGCGCCACTTGGTCAGTCAAGCATTATTGGCATTTAGCTGACTTTGCAACAGTCTAGTCGCTTTAAGATCACAGTTACATTTTTGAGGAAAGCCGCAGCTTTCTGGTGTCTGGGCTACTTTAATAGTAAAAATGTTATAGAGTACCGGACCAAGTACAGAGACCTGGGATACTCCAGCTCTGCAGCTGAAAAGAGAAGATTTTGTCACTTGTAAGATAAAGTTGCGTGATCCATAAGCCTGGCTTATGGATCACTCAGTGTGTCATTGTCAAGACCATGGACTGAATGGTGATCAGATCAAATGAAGGTGTTTTACGAGGGTCCATTTTGGCTATTTCTTTAGCTCCCCCAAAGACTGGTCCTGCGCCGCTCGCATCCAGGTACCTCCCGCGACCTTCACCAAATCTTCACTAGGTCGGTCCACCTAGTGGGAGGCCTGCCCACGCTACGTCTTCCGGCTCGTGGTTGCCACTCAAGAACTTTCCTGCCCCAGTAGAAATCAGCTTTACGAGCTATGTGCCCCGTCCACTTTTAGCGATTTTAGCGATTCTGCGGGCTATGTCAGTCACTTTGGTCTTTCTGCGTCTTTCGTCCTCTCTCAGCGTAATAGGAATCAATCTTCTACTTTTTACTTGAGTTGGGTAAGCGAAAACATGGCGGTCAACTCCTCAGATAGGTACAAAGATGTCCAGAAGCAGCTTATGAGATGCAAAATAGGCCCTCTCAAATCACAATGGAAAGGTTTGGGAGCATAGCGCCTAGAATGGCGGGAGATTGTGAAGAGGCGAGTCCGCGATTTCAAAGTGCTGCGCACACCTGAACTCTCGTCCATCTGCCGCCATTTACTATAATTATGTTGGCGGCGGTTGGAATTTGCCGCGAAAATCGGCTATGTAAGCTATCTTCGGGCGCACCAGCGCCGCCCAGACAGCTAAGTCGAAGTGGTCACCATGACCGAAATCGGTCGAAAGAATCATCATTATCAGTGGGAATCAAAGGCAGGCATAGCTGCAAGTCACGGATCAAGTTCAATACTTGATCTTATTTTATGAATTGAATTGTGGATTTTTTGGATTATCCGTGTCGTTGGGTTTAAATAAACCGGCTGGTCATGTAGCAAAGGCCTGATATTTTTCTTGTCAGTTCGCACTCATGTATTACCGAACCTAATAGGCGGAGAACACTTTAAGGAATATACTTTGTTGCCCTCCAGAGTTTGTGGTTCCCATTTGCATTCAGACACATTTGCCAATCTCTGTGTAAGTGATTCTCTTTAAGTATAGTCCAATAGTGTAGGTTGTCTGCCAGACGAAGGCGGCGATTTTTTTCTTGACAGCAAGAGGGAGCGTCGCCTCTCGTGATCAATTATTTACTAGACCAAGCAGCAACTGTTAAAATAGTTAGTATTAAGTTTTTCAATCAATTTAATTAGTATACCAACGGCATTAAGTTCGCCTTGTGTACCAATGAGGGTTTTCGCGATTGAAAAATCCGCCAGATGGCAATACGTAGACGCGAGGTCCAAATGCTGCATGATTGGTTATTTTTGACATGACATTGACAGATATGTCAAAATCCACCAATCACGAAGCAGTCAGACCCTACATCCACGTCCCGCCATCTGGCGGATTTTTCAATCGCGAAAACCCTCATTTATATGGCATTAAAGAATAAATATTATAGTTAGTTCTTCTGCGTTCGAAACAGAAATCCAGAAAGTACAGTATAGGAGAGGAATAAATTGCAAAAAGTTGGTACAATATCAGTATCGGCGCGCCGACAGCTGGTCGTCGGCGGCGGCGGCGTGAAAAAATTCGCGGCGGCGGCGGCGCGCCGGCGTGGCGCCCACCTCTAGTGGGTATTCAATAACGGTCTGTTAACGCCATCTATCGGCGCATCAGCGCACATAATACGTCTGAAGTTGTATACGAGCAAGGAGCCTGGAGGGGAGCGCGGGAGCGGCCCGCGTCAACTTCACTCGATTACCAGCAAGAAAACACGTACGAACAACGGTTGTAAATTAATCTGAAAA